ATTATGGGGATGTGAAAGTCGAGAATATACATTTTGGCATTAATTTTCAGAAAAAACCCGGGTCACTTCGATGAATATTCCCATTACTTTGCTGAGAACGAGGATGACGATTCCAAACCAGAATGTCCGTATGGAGCCAACTGTTATCGAAAAAACCGTCAACACTTAGAAGACTACAGACACAGCCAGTCCTCAGGTAGTAGCCGTGGCATATTTAGAAATGCTTTTATATGTTTCTACGTTCACACGAGGCTAGTCAGTGCAGAACAATACTAGTTATTCAAATTGGTCGCCATATTTCGATTCGGGGTATAGTAATATTTATTTGAGGCAAATCAGTAAGCGCGTGCAGTTTCTCCCTTCCTCCACTGTTACCGCATCTGTGACATGCAGTGAAATTTATTTCCAGACTGAGACACTTTAGTATTACCACTGACTATTCCTGATTTTATTTTCGTTTCAGAGGCTAGACCAAAAAGAAAGGCGTCCACCACAGGTGAGGTTGACTTTTTAAAATGGTCATGTAAAAATATTCGCCTTCCTTCAAACCTTCAAATTTTACCCATGAGCAACCTGAGCTAATCAAAGTCAGGGCACGGCTAACTCACATGTGGAAATGGAAGTTAGCGTGTAAGTCAAACCAAAGGAGCCGTAGAAAATCACTGAAATCAAGGGAGAGACCTAACAAACTCTACTCGCATTTGATTCCGAGACGCCAGAGATTAGAGGCGAATGCACTACCACTACGCCTACCTTGAGTTCTAAAACATATCACTCGTCTACCAATCAACACAAACGCTTTTTCTCCTCTCATCGATGTAATTCACTCTCTGTAGGTAAACAGAGTGATGACAGTGATAAGGGTGATGATGAAGACGACGGTGAGCCAAATACCTATGACGAGGACGTCATCGATAAAAACGAGTCATCAAGTAGCGAGAGCTATAACCAGCCCTCCGCGGACGATAGTGACTGGAACCCTGGTGACGACTCGGACGAGGACGTGAAGGAACTTCTTTCTGAGGCCAGAGGTTTTCTTAGAAGTAAAAAGATGGCGAAACCCGTATAAGGACTAGTCGTAAACCCTTGAGGAGCTTGGAGCAAGGGGGAGGGGTGGTGGGTACCCTGGGGTCCAGAGATTATTTATTCTCGCTCCGGCATTTGCTGTTTTGATTGGAAGTCGCGAGGGGAAAGCGAATCAGAACCTCTGGAGACCAGGGTAGGTCAGTAGTGGGATTGTCAGTATAAAACATCCCTTTYYTTTGGTCCTGTGCTCAAGCTCTAATTTACCCTTTGATATCGTCCAAGACCCATTTGAGAAAATATAGATATCATGATCGTCTCTTTTTCTAAACCCTTTTCTCCCTACCCCACCAGTGTTGGTAATTTATGACCTGTCTCGAACATCTCAGTGTTCTGTAACATTTGCCTTTTCCATTGAGACAACCCTGGAAGGTTCTTTAGGGTTGAAATTTTCATCCTCAACAGTAAAATTAGTTCATAGTGAATTTGTTATGAGTGGGGAAATAATCAAATAGTCGTATCAACACCAAGACGTTTGATTGGCTGTATGGACACACGAAAAAAGAGCGGGAAGTCATTTCGCGCCACTTAGTGTCACGTGTACCGTATCCGACAGAGCGTGTACCTATGGGGAGGTCTGACTGACCAGGGATTAAGAAGCACACATTTCGTTCTGTATACATTATTTTCTTATATTTTTTAAAAGTGATGATTTTGTGCTAAATAAATTCATTATCTTCACCCATCCCACCTAAGTAAACTCCTCACGAGAGAGTAGTATAGTACTATAATTTTCCCACTCATACGAATTCTCACTGTGTACTGAGGTAAGCCAGATCTGTAGACACTACATAAAAATCATTATATAAAAGTGACGTGTTTTCCAGAAAGTTTTTTTTTTCAGTAAGAAGCTTTTAACATTGACTCTGATTCTGGGAAAAAATGAAGCTGCAAACATATATTTAGTTTATTATATAGTAGATTAACTTGAAAAAGGCTTCTGGAAGCAGGATCAGTTGAACATAAAAGCAGAAAACTATGTGATAATATAAAGATATAGACGTAAAGAGAAAAACCTCTATATGTATCAACTATATAGGCCATAAAGTTTTAACAAATGTATATGTATATGTAGATAGATTTTAATGAAGATATATTAAAGAACTGATGTGTAAACCATGATGATTTGTAGAGGGACTTATTTGTATACTGATCTAAACAAGGCGAAGTGTGCACCTACTTATGAGTATTTACAGCTAATGCATCAACGAATCAATCAATCAAAGAAAGAAAGAAAGGTTAGAAGGAAGGAAGGGAAGAGAGATAGAGAGAAAGAAAGAAAGAAGGAAAGAA